CTTCTGAATAACACCACTCTAGCTTTGCCGATGGTCTTCCTTGTGAGTAGCCATACTTCTGCTAATGAGTTCTCTTGTTAATGACACTGTTTCTAATGGCCGTCAATATTATGGATGACACAATTCTTGACAAAAGTATTTCTACATAGTACTAACTCTGATAATAATGGCATCACTACTAACGACGATCTCTCTTCATTGTAATGCTCTTGATAAAAATCCATCTTATTAAAAGGTAGCACTTCTAGTGGAAGATCAATTTTTGTGAACGTCACAACTATTGATGATCTATTTTATTAACGGCACCACTGACTCTTAATGACAGTCTGTCTTGTTAAAGGCAGTACTCTTACAATAAATTATTTTGTGAGTGACGCCATTCAACTCTTGATTGTGACAAAAATTCTTGATTATGGTCTTTCTTATTAACAGAACGTTTTCTCACAACTTTACTATTTTACAATAATATTTCTTGTGATTAGTAATAATCCTAACGACTATCTCTTTTACTAATGTCATTAACCCTCATAACTGTTTTTCTTTTAAGATGAGTTGCAGTTCTTTTGCTATTTCTATATATATATGAAGGTTTTATATTTTTTTGATCAAATTTTAAAAAATTCGTTAGATAATTGAAGATACTATGTGCAAAATAAACTGATTATGAGATTTATCAGATAGTTGTTTAAGCCTATAGATGCAGAGATGTAATCATACCATGGTTAGCTTGTAAAAGCAGTGGTCTCTTTTATATTCAAACAAATTTGAAAATGTGTACATTTACTTATCTAAAAAAAGCAGGGAGAAAAACCACATAAGGCACTTGGTCTCGCTTGTGTTATTCTGACATTCAAGTAAATGAAAAAGAAAAACCACATAAGGCACTTGGTCTCGCTTGTGTTGTTCTGACATTCAAGTAAATGAGGGAGAAAAACCACATAAGGCACTTGATCTCACTTGCATTGTTCTGACATTCAAGTAAATTAAAAAGAAAAACCACATAAGGCACTTGATCTCACTTGTGTTGTTCTGACATTCAAGTATATGAGGGAGAAAAACCACATAAGGCACTTGACCTCGCTTGTGTTGTTCTGACATTCAAAATGAAATATGCGTTTGATTGTTCGTAAATTACTCCAATAGTTTTATAGTTAGCAGGACCGTGGCAGTTAGATTCAGTTATCCCATGGGATCTTTATCTGTATGATGTAGCCTCCCTAGGGGGTTACAACGCGCCCCTAAGATGACCAAGGCATGTAGGAAGTATAGTAGTAGGTCTGCAGGACCGCTGATCTCGAATTTGGCGATGGATTTTGGTTCCTGGCATCATTCGGGAACAGAGGCACAATTTTTGAAATTGTGTTCGTAATCCCACTCAAAAACTTGTGAGATCAAACTTGGGTCACGTTCTAAGGTGCCAAAAGTAAGGGTCTTAACGGGGCTTTGTTTGGGTATCCAGAGAAGCAATTTGGGGATAATAAAGTAATTTGATCGGTAAATTGTGGCCTTTATGATCATGAGAGGAAACTTGAACACTACAACAAAGCTTGGGTATTTTATGCTAGCAGTGATATTAAACTAACAAGGATTATACCTTGTAATGATTAGTTTGTTTGGAATTTCGCGCAAGGCTACAAGAGGTCTATCTGCGCTAGTCGTCCCTAATTTATCAGTGATAGATTAAAGGGAAGGCAGTTATTCAACACCACCCACAGGCAATTTTTGGGCTGCTTCTTTTATCAACGAATATTGGGATTGATCGTCAAGAGCATGTTCAGTGACTGAGATTTGAACCTGCGACCCAAAGATTGCGAATCAAGTACCTATCCACCAGGCCATGCCGGACTACTTGTAATGATAAAGAAGTCAGTTGTGTAATTTAGGTAACTTTAAAAGACAATTAATTAGTAAGGGAAACCGAGAATCTTAGACGAAGATTAAAACACCATAAATCACAGGTAAGAAATGATCTTAAACCTTTTTTACTGTTGCGGGTACTTCATGCTTGTATAAAAATAAGTATAGTTATCTTGAAGAACCTATATGTTATTACCTACATCTAAAAAATATTTACTTACGTATGTGAAAACATTAGTTTTTACTCCTGCGCGTGACAGAGGTTTCCGATCATAATGATACTGTAAACAGCAAGTGACGCGTGTTTGAACGTATTAGTGATCATATTGTCACGCTGAGGACCTGAATTATTTTAACTATTTAATTATTTTTTTTTGTTTTTCCACATGTGGAAAAACAAAAGGGATTAGGCAATAAGAAACTCAAACAAATCCCGCCTACCTGATTGGCTTCCATATAGAGATGTCTGTTTTAGCTTTGTCATTTCATCACGACGGTAATTAAATGAAAAACATCTTCCATAAACTGGATCAAGAAAGTCAAAAAACTCACGGTTTGTATACAGCTTTTGTTAAAATAACAAATATATTATAATGGTTTGTATACAGCTTTTGTTAAAATAACAAATATATTATAATGGTTTGTATACAGCTTTTATTATAGTATATTTGTTATTTTAAATTTTCAGGATTTTATCCATCTTTTTGCTTCTATTTCAGGATACAGATATTTATAAAACAAATAGCTATTAACTTTTGAATTTCAGTTAATATAAAAACATATAATTTTTACTAATTTAAAACTTTGAAACATTATGCTGGCCAATTTCAGATCATGTACCAAGACTAACAAGCTGTTTGAGTTAAACTTCAGATCGTGTACCAAAATTAGCAACTTATTTGCTGCTGGACACGATACTGTAAAACATTTACACAAACAGAAAAGACATTGCCAACAAGCATTTCTGACAAAAACAGGCTATATTGTTATAACCATCTGACAAGCAACCCGTATTAGCCCTTATTATCAGACCCCACCATGTAGTATTAATACGCTGCTAACAAACAACTGAAAGCTGTATATCTGATAATGAACTTTATTCCTCAATCTACACTATTAACTATCAGTAATTCTGTCTCTTATAATTTTCATCTTATCCCAAGGTACACAAAACTAACAACCTAACGGCTCATTAGTGGTTCAATCTGTTCTTACTCAATCACTTCTATCTCAGCATTCATAAAAAGCATTAATAATGTTTTCCAGACGTCCATTTCCTGGAAGATTTATTTTCATTATTGACGTTTCTTCTTTAAACACTGTCATACCCCTTAAAGCACTTTGTCGTCCGTCGAACCCCACTTACAGGACCTCAAATTCTATATTTCGTTTTTCAGAGCTTGTTTTAAGCTTAACGTGTTCTCAGTTTTAATGGTTCTTTGTTCATCAGACTAGTAGAGTTACCATGGGAACGAAAATGAGACCCAACTGTATTATTGTTTTGTAGATTTGGTATAGAAGAGGACATTTCTTAATTTTTTCAGGGTATTTACATCTTCAGGTATTAGGCTGTCGTGAACAGCTAGATAATTTTATCAACCCTGATTCCTGTACTTGGCACGGAACAGGATGTCATCACAAGCTTGTAAAACATAGCTTTAGGAGAGTATCCTCTAAAATAGTGGACACTAAACTATTGTCTTAATACTTATTTGTGACAGTGGTTTATTGTGGTCAACACTTATTGAGTGCGAGATTTATGAATGTTTGTCTAAAAAACTTGTCTCCGCTTTCTTCTTCTCCCCGTCAACCAGCGTTTTCCCTCAAATTTGTGTTATTTACTTTTGTTATAATTAACTTTAAACCAGTTTATTTCAGTTTGGTTTTCCCCTAACAACCTACCAACCAAACCTATCATCTCTTTATGCGGGGTTGGTTTGTTGTGCGCTATTATTCCTATAAACCAGGAATACTACAAGGTGATAGAGTAATTTCCTTAGTTTTACTCTACGGTTTATACCTTCAATACATTATGTAAAAGAAATGTAATCCGTATTCACAGATTTTGCGTTCATGAAGTTTACAGAATAATGACGAAAAACTTACCCAATATATTGTTGAAGTAACTATTTTTTTTCAAATGTTACGTATTACAATTTCGAATGATCTGAAACTGAGCTAAATGAGATTTAAATTTAGCAGTTAAATATATGCCGATATATCTCCAATTTATGATATTTGCCAACAAGATTGATACACACAGTTTTCTTTTTTAATACAAATATGTCTTAATATATAAATAACAATACAGTTTACAATAACAGTTATTACAAATAGTTAGCCCCTCAGTGGCACAGCGGTATGTCTGCGGACTTACAACGCTTGAAACCGGGTTTCGATACCCGTGGTAGGCAGAGCACAGATAGTCCATTGTGTAGCTTTGTGCTTAACTTCAAACAAACAAACAAATAGTTATTACAAACAATGATTTATATACAAAAGTTTTACAAACTTACAAGCAATATAAAGTCTTCTTTCTACTCTGGAACTTCCTTGATGTCTTATCGAGAGTTCGTGATGAGCGAGTTAATTACGAGTTGATGTCGGTACAATTCACTTAATAGTTCTGTGAAATTCACTGATCACACGCCGATATTTCCTACCGGTGACGTTAGGTAATGTTTTCGTAAAAGTACTAATGTCCGATATGAGTCCACTGAAGCTAAATGGTTTGTAATGCTCGAAATTTATAAACGTTCCTG